TGTGGCTTAGGGAAAAGTATCCCTTCTGAAGGTTCTCCATGACGAACGCCTTAGTCGCTTGGAGCTCTTCGGTGCTCTGCTTGTACAGGGGACTGAACTGATTCGGCAGAGGTTCAGTGAGAACGATCTTGTGGTCGTACGGGCGGTGTTCAGGTAGCTGATCAGCGGCAGTCTTGCTGAACACGTCTCGGTACGAGTAGTAGACGGATGGGAGTCGGTCCTGAACTAACTTAGCATTTTCAGGATCATCCTTTAGTCGTCTCTCTTCTAGGATACGATCGATCTCATAGATGCTTGTCGTGAAGAACTCGTTTTCCTTGCGTTTCATGGTGTAGTGGAAGGCGTTGGCAGAGATAAGTGAGATGCGGGGTGAAGGAGGGGAAGAGGGTGCAGGTCGGATAGGTTTCGGAGCAGGGTCGGGTGCTGGAGGTAGAGAACGGGCTTTAGGGAGTCGAAGAAGGCCACGGATCCGTTAAATACTGGCCGTAGTTGGACTGTTTCTTCTCCGATAGTCGTCCTTCTCCCAGAGAGCGTTGCGTCTCTCGATATCCTTCGCAACCTCGGTGTCAACAGCTGGTTGTTTTAACTGCACTAGGATAGGTGGGGCAGGATCATAAGTTGCTGGGTACTTGGCTGGCCATACGATTCGGTTCCGAATCGTATCTAATTGAAGCTGGAATCGGCGCAGCCACTTAATACCAATAATACAATCCTGTGATCCTAAATCCATAATAACGAATAGGCAGTTATAGATCTTGCGGCCATCAACAGAGAGGTGCAACCGGATGTATTGGTTAACCCTTGTCTAAACCTGATCTTGAAATCCTTTGACTGTAATCTTGAAGGGCAGTCTTCGGATAGGAACCTAAAGCGAACTAGAGATTGTACGAGCAATTACAGAATTTAAAAATAAGAAACCTTAGGCGCCAGTGTCAACTAGTGACTGCAGGCTAACACCATAGCCCTTCGAACAAAGAACGGTGGGAACTCGGAAGTGCTTTCCTCCAAACAAGTATGACAGATCAATCTTAGCAAGGTCATACTTATGAATGCCTAGGGCGGAGCGTTTTCCTAGGCTTCGTCGTTTCCCGACCGGTCCTCATCCGACTGGTATTCTGCGGCTTCCTCGAACACATCTTCCTCTTAAATAGCTTCTATCTCTCTTACCCGAGGGACTGTGCAGTCGCTCGCAAAGTGTCCGGGCTTGCCGCAGTAGTAGCAGTTGCCAGGAGTAGCTTGGCGTTCTAGTACTGGTGTCTTAGAGGCAGGCCTGGGCACACTCGAGGAAGCCCGAGGTGGGGTCGGAGCAGGGTCGGACCTTACTTCGTGCGTGGGTAGGCGATACTCCCTTGTCTGATAGGTAGCTGACTTGGGCTTCGCAGTCGAAGTGTAGGTGGTCCGTCGCTCCAATTGTGCTACGATAGGAGCTGATCGTCGTTCTAATTCGAAAGCAGTGAGATGTTTACACATCTCATCGAAGGAGCTGTCAAAGAAACGCTTAACAGCCATGTTAGGAACTCGCAGAGCTGGGCTAATCTTCTGCCAGAGATAGAAGGGCCACTCCGGTTCCGATACATGTCCTTTAATAGCGAGACTAATAAAACGAGCTTTGAACTCTGAAAACGGCTCTCTATCTTTCATAAGCAGATTGTGGAAAGCGGCTCGGCTCTCCGCCTGCTCATTGCCAGTTACGAAGTATGATCTAAGTAGCT